ACACACACACACACACACACACTCACACTTGAATACTCAGAGTGAGAGCGAAGGCGTGCCAGCTTCTAGCACTTACTGTTCTCTGTGTCTTTAAGTTTGGGTGTGCAAATGATTCATGTTCTTTTAATCCAAGAATGTGAATATGAGAGGAGTGAATAGATGTCGGCTGTGGTTTTTAAAGCGCTAAAAAAACAGGTAGTTGTTTAGCCCACAGGCTGACAGATTCCCACACAGCTTCATGTTCCTTAAGAGGATTGCTCAACTCACTGGTGGCACAGGAGTGAGGAGTGCTGTGGTGCTGCAGTATGAAATGCACTAGTTTGCCCAAAGTGAAATATTCCCTCTGTGTGAAGCGGTGGTTGAATCAGATTTTTGCTATTTGTCATCAATGTAGAATGAAAAATATTCCCATCCTGTGTGACTGAGCGCCTCCTGCCCTGTGCATCATGCGTTCAGACGTGTTGAGCAGACGATTGTGAGTCATAACTTCTACTCTCCTCAGCACAGATCTGGGGCTTATGCTACCCTGGCCTGGTATGGAAATAGCTCTGAGGGGGATTGCTGTCAGATCCTGACAGTAATAGATGTGTGAATGTGCTAATATCATATGGGGTTCAAGTGATCAGCCTCATGTTTAGTGTGTGGTTTCGCCTTGCCTTTTCCCTCCGACCCACTCGGTTTCTGTCTGTCTGTTTCCCCTGTCTACTTACAGCAGCAGCAGCTCCAGGCACAGCACCTCTCCCATGCGGCTCACGGGCCTCCGGTCCAGCTGCCACCTCACCCCTCAGGCCTGCAGCCGCCCGGCCTCCCGCCTGTGACGGGCGCTGGATCAGGCCTGCTGGCACTTGGCGCACTGGGCAGCCAAGCCCACCTCCCCGTGAAGGATGAGAAAAACCATCACGATCTGGAGCACAGAGGTGAGGAGTTGAACACGTGTGGCATATGGCTGTCCAATTAGGCATTCGCTGCTAAAACCAGTTTGTTTAGAAGAATTAAAATTTGTATTAATTTCAACATTGTCACATAGATGTTAAACAGGGAAAAACCAATTTGGTGCGGCATGCTTCTCACTCTATAGAGCCGAATCCTAGGGCCCTTAGGTGTGCAGCACATCCTGTCTGTTCACATTCTGTCTGGGTAATGAGCTGGTACATTCCCAGCCCATGACTGTATAAGCTATTCAACAGCCGAACACACGGTGATAAGAGGGGCCATGTGCCCTGCAGATGATTCTCACACGTTCAACCAGAAGCATCTGTTATGATACGCTAACTGATGTGTGTTTCTCTTTGCTCCACTTGGTTTCATCATCACCTCGGCCGCCATTTTCATGTCTGCGATACAGAGAACGCGGTGAGTGTCCAAACCCACAATTGTATTTATATTTTTATTTGCAGGGCTTGTTGGGTTTTTTTTTAATATGTATTCATAAAATAAATTAATTTACATTTAATTTAAGTAAAATTCTTGCTTTGCATATTACTGTGAATTATGTGCCTTGTTGTAATCTGCTGTCAGTAAAATTATTTGTTTGAAATGTAAGTCCTGTGTGTTTCATCCAGAATGGAAATAACTGGTATCATGCTTGAGAGATTAGAAGTCTTGTAATTTCATCACATTTGCAGAAAGACTTGGACTTCCCCTTCTTAAAGGATTTATTCTATCCCCTCTACTGTCTGTATTGTTTACCAACTCGCTTTTTCTGATCTCTGGCATGTGATGAATATTTATGAACAAAAAATGGAGGATTGTTTTTGTTTTCCTCTCCACCCTGTCTGGCTGGAGCTGCTAAAGCATTTGATTTGAATGGCTGCGATCTCTGATGGCTTGTGATGGGCTGGTGAGATTGTGTTTCTGTAGGCCAGCCTGGCTGAATGGGTGCAGTCATGTCTGAAGAAATGGAACTCCTGGGGCGATTAGCAGGCCTGTTTTGTTTCTGCGCTCTTGTCCCAGGTCATCTGATAGCAGAGTGGTGACTTTGGTTAATGAGTCACGCTAAGCATCTCTTTAAAAGTCAGCCATTATGCAGACAGTGGCCCTTTGCCCAGACTGCTAGTCCATCGGCCATTGTTCACGTCTCTGGGCTGCTGCTGACATAGTCCGTGTCGTTGCTTTGGTCCTCAGAGGAAGGGGACGGGGAGAATCAAGAGGACTTGGCAGGTTGCAGGCAAATGGCAAACTCCTGTGAAAGCTGCTGGACACCTGCCTAGTTCCTCCAATTTTGCTGGCGACAGGAGTGAGCTGTCCCAGCTTGTGTGGGCAGGCAGGCTCCATGAAGAAGCGGCAGTCAGTCCCACGCTGCCGTGCCCACTGGCAGGATATAGATTCCCTTTCTTTATCGGAGCTCAAAGCCTGAGCTGACATGGTTCCTAAGCACGCTGCAGCAATTGATGCCCAATGCCCACAACATACAGTCACCCCTTCTATTTCTCTGTCTCTCCTCCCCTCTCTCTCTCACGCTTAGCCTGACTGACTCCAGAGAAAAGGCCCTCTGTTCAGCCACAACACACTGCTCATGTCCCTGTGAGGCTGTTTGTTGTCCAGTTATGAGGAGGAGGGAGCCCAGCTCAGAAAACAAGCCCCCTCCCCTTTCACTTCAGATAACGGCCCATTCTGTTGCATGGCCAGGGACAGGCTTGTGTGTGAGATTGGGCTTGGCTGGTGTCAGGGTACTGTGAGGAACAGGCCTGCAGCTGCATTTTAAGAGTCTGCGGCATCCTTAGTTTTGTGAATGAGGCATGTTTTTAGTGTTTGCATTGGCATAGTGTGTTCTGTGTGGATTTGTAATGGCTGAATGACTCACTACTTTCTTTTTACGATGGAAGACAAAATGGTAATAAAGTGTTTGGTTTTCCCTTTGCAGAATAACTCAATATCCCCATCAGAAAGCTTACGCACAGCCAGCGAGAAGCACCGCAGCTCCTCTGACTACAGTTTGGACTCGAAGAAACGCAAAGTGGACGAGAAGGACAGCATGAGCAGATATGTAAGACACTGAAGGAATTAATCTACGTTTATAGAAATACACATAAGCTGCTTTCAGACATGCACTGAACCCTGGATAATCTCCGGAGGGGCTGTATATGAAAGCACAAATGGCCGTGGGAGAGTCACTGGACTTTCTCTTGAGTTTCTACTGCCAGCCCGTAGTATAAACTTCAAGCCAATGTCCAAGCCAATGTGAGCCAACAGCAGGAGATTCTCCAGATGTTTCACCGCGAGTGAATAGGCGTGTTGATGACATATCTAACATGCTAAAGATGCAAAACTGAAAAAACTGAACAAATACATGACATCCTGCCTCCTGCCTCCTGCCTCCTGCACCACCCCTTAGTTTAACATCTGGAGATTTCTGTGTTGTTGTGAACACTTCTGAGAATCTCCTGCTGCATTGTTCATTTGTGAAAGGCAAATTTCAGAAATGGTCTGGACCAAATTGTGGGACGCTCTCCACAGTGCAGGTCTGAATACGGCTGAAGTATTCCTCAAGCCTTCCCGTAGTCAGACATATTTAATTGATTTCATTAAGAAAGATTTATTGAGGTGACTAATTTTCCAATTAACTTAACAGGACAGTGACGGAGAGAAAAGTGATGACCTGGTGGTAGATGTGTCTAATGAGGTAAGCAGTGCAGCATGACATTGTAAATGACACATGTGGTTGTGGAGTGAGATGAGACACTTGCATAAATGTGATTTTTTTTCCCGCTGTGTTCCTCTAGGACCCCACCACTCCGCGGGCAAGCCCGGTGCACTCTCCACCTGAAAATGGCATTGACAAGCCCCGCCCTCCAAAGAAGGACACACCCAACAGCCCTGCATCAGTGGCATCGTCTGGAAGCACCCCGTCGTCTAAGGCCAAGGAGCTCAGTCATGTAAGACATGAAGAGAGTTACTAACAAACTGGGACAGAAAGGGGCTTAAATTGCAGAGCGAGCAAAGGGATATGTGCAAATAAATCTAGGACGTTTTCTGCAGTGGATTAGGAATGACTGTCAGTGCTTTAAGTGCATGACTAAACGTCAGGGATAATATTGTCCCGCATCAGGATCAGTCAGGTCTTCTCTGTTAATAGCTCAATGTATTTAACTATTCCAGGATTTTTTTCTCTCCCTCTGCCTCACTAAAAGATTAAAGCCAAAGTAGTAAGGGGATAAAAAACAGCCCCATCTCCATTGTGGCCATAATAGGTTTTGGAATAAATAGCAGTTTTTGGCTCTACAGGACTATGAGTGTTGTCAGAATTAGATTGGATTAAGTTCAGTTTGCTCTCAAATTGTCTGCACAGTGCCTGGGTTCTGGGATTATGAATGTTCTTGCTCTCTCGTTCCCTCTCGGCAGAATGACAAATCCTCCACGCCTGGCCTCAAGTCCAACACTCCCACCCCTCGCAACGATGCCCCCACCCCAGGCACCAGCTCCACTCCCGGCCTCAGACCCATCTTGGGCAAACCCCCAGGCATGGAGGCTCTCGGTTGGCACCATTCTCTTTTCTCCCATAGCAACTGAGATGATCTTTTTCCATCCCTCCTCCAATAAACTGTTGTTAACATACCAATATGCTTTTCCTGTCTTTGTTTGCAGCAGCACCAGCTTTGCGTACCCCTCTGTCCATCGCAGGCTCTTACCCTACCCCCTTTGCCATGATGGGCCATCATGAAATGAATGGAGGTCTGACTAGTCCTAGTGTATATGCTGGTCTGCACATCTCGCCTCAGATGAGTGCTGCAGCAGCTGCAGCCTATGGACGCTCCCCTATGGTAACATCCTTTTCTGCCGCTGTATTTGAGATCAGCCAGAATGTCAGGTCAGTAACTGATCATTAAAATATTTTCTTGTTGTATTTTAGGGGTTTGATCCTCACACCCACATGAGAGCACCAGGCCTTCCAGCCAGCCTCACATCCATTTCTGGGGGGAAACCGTAAGTGTCTCACCAAAGGTGTTATTCTCAGACATCTTAAAACCCTGTACAGATGTAAGACACTAAAAGGTCTCTGTCTTTTCCTACAGGGCTTACTCCTTCCACGTTAGCGCAGATGGTCAGATGCAGCCTGTGCCCTTCCCACCTGATGCCCTGATTGGCCCCGGTATTCCTCGCCACGCCCGTCAGATCAACACACTGAGCCACGGCGAGGTGGTGTGCGCTGTTACCATCAGCAACCCTACACGCCACGTCTACACTGGTGGCAAAGGCTGCGTCAAAATCTGGGACATTAGCCAGCCCGGCAGCAAAAGTCCTGTGTCCCAACTGGACTGTCTGGTGAGGAGGCTGCACTCTCACGTTTGACTCTGCACATCTTTTCACTTACTTCATTTTGTATATCTAAAGGGGATGAACTGTTTTTAAACTCAAGCAATTGTTTTGCATGAGGACAGTTTGACAGCGAATGTACTGTTACTCAAATGCTGTTACTCAGAGTTTGTATTGAATAGAAAAAGGTTTTGGCAAGAACTGAGGGGAAAATGATAAACATCACACAACATTTCCCCAAAAATGACATGAAATGTTTACCGAACCAGATAAACGTGTGAATACATTAAACTAAAAACCAGTCCACTCAGTTCAGACCAGTTTTGAGAAACCCTCAGTTTGGTTTGTTATGACAGAACGATTTTCATCCTCTTTCCCACTGATTTCTTCCTAAATCTATCTGTAGCTGCACTGCCCTGAACACGTATTGATTTGTTTTTGTCCTCTGTGCAACAGAACAGGGATAACTACATCCGCTCTTGTAAGCTACTGCCTGATGGTCGCACATTGATTGTTGGAGGCGAGGCCAGCACATTGACCATCTGGGATCTGGCCTCTCAGACACCCCGCATCAAGGCTGAGCTCACCTCCTCAGCCCCGGCCTGCTACGCCTTGGCCATCAGCCCTGACGCCAAAGTCTGCTTCTCTTGCTGCAGTGATGGAAACATCGCCGTTTGGGACTTGCACAACCAGACTCTCGTTAGGTGGGAAAATAAAATACTTATTCACTCTGTGTGGGCTTTGGCCCTCAACTGGATTGCTGCTATGTGTGAGTAATTTTAAACGAGGGTGTCAATAAATGTTTGTATGCTGTCTGACTTTGATTGCAGGCAGTTCCAAGGTCATACGGATGGTGCTAGCTGTATCGACATATCCCATGATGGCACAAAGCTGTGGACAGGCGGTCTCGACAACACTGTTCGCTCCTGGGATCTGAGGGAGGGACGACAGCTGCAGCAGCATGATTTCACATCACAGGTACAGCAAATAAAAATATGGAGAAACATGGAGGAGATGATAACACCCACAGATAAACTTATCAAGACCCAAGGTGCCATATAAAACGCACTCAAAACTGTTGGAAAACAACCACCTAAAACTGAGGGACAGAATTTTTCATTTTTACAAAAACTGTTCTTACTTGGCCTCTGAAGCAGATAGAGACATGAAATTTAAAAAAAACATTTGATAGCTTAAACATTTGGCTTTTCCCTTAACTTGGTGAACATTTAAAAAAGAAAAAGAAAGCCGGCTAACTCACCTAGATCCCCCCCTACCTCAAACATGTCCTTTACTGACTGAGCCTTGTTCAGCAGGCCAGGTCTAATCCTAATCTTCTTCATTGTTATTTTCATCGTTGTTAATGTCTATGAAACATGGCTGTCATCTGCCTCCATATGACTCCTGTCGCTTCAACGCATTTTAAGAACGCTAAGAAACAACTACATTTCCCAAAATGCATTTTCCCTTTTCCGCGAGTATTTCATTAAATCATGATGTATTTCATTAGTCACATGTCTTGAAAATGAAGACATTTTAGATGAGATGCAGACATGTCTCATCGGGCTCTGAAGGGAGAAGCAAGCAAACGTTGGACCGGATTTTAAAGGTATATACTAGGCCTGGGCCGATAATCAATAAATCAATTAATCGCACGATAAATTAAAATGAACTCGATAATTTTGCCGGCCTCGATATATCGCCATGTGCATGCATGTTTGTTTTCCTCGTCTCTCGCCTCCAAGCAGGCCGGATGACAAGAGGGTTCACTCTGTGCTCGGTCTCAACACCTGGGGGCGTTTGTTGCGGAATGAACTGAGTGAACCCTCTTGTCAGTCATCCAGCCTRTTTGTCTCTGTGGGGGGAGGCGGGGCCGCTAGCATTAGCCACACATGCTACACACACAGAGTGCAGTGAGTGAGCGTTGTGCGGAGCAACGCAAGGAGAAAAGATGATTGCAAAGTCAAATGCCACAGCCCCGGTGTGGGAATATTTCGGCTCCAAACCGAATGAGCAAGGTGAGCCCATCAACACGGACAAGCCAGTTCAAAAGTGGTGGCAACAAAAAAAGGCAACACAAAGAAATTGCATGCCTGAAGCATGACCACCCGACCCAGTTTCTCAGCTGGGGAAACAAAGTGCACCTCGAGATGCAGAGCCTTCGTCCCGACAGTCAACACTCACTCAGGCGTTTGGTCGACAAAGTAAATATAAACAGAACAGCGCAAAATGGTGTGCGCTCATTGAAAGTGAAGTTCGCTACATCGCAAAAGGTAAAAAACACTGAGAAATAAAAGTTTATTGTCTTTGAAAGGGTGTCATTATTATGATATATTATCATGTTGACAATAATATCGTTTATCGGCAATAATTCGTGTGACAATATATCGTCCAGCAAAATTTGTTATCGTCCGAGGCCTAGTATATACAGGCACCTGACGCACCCGCCTCTAAATGGAATGTCTTCTTGTCTCATTTCCAGATCTTCTCCTTGGGCTACTGTCCGACCGGAGAGTGGCTCGCTGTGGGTATGGAGAGCAGTAACGTGGAGGTGCTTCACCACTCAAAGCCTGACAAATATCAGCTCCACCTGCACGAGAGCTGCGTCCTCTCTCTCAAGTTCGCCTACTGTGGTAAGAACACATGATGATAATGTCAACCGACTGTACTTCACCACAGAGGGACCTTTTTAATGACCTTTTATTTAGTGCTAACAGAGCAGAGCCTTTTCTTACAGATGTCTCTTGCGTTCTCAAGGTTACAGACTTGGCAACTCTTCATTCACAGGTTTTGTTTCCCAGCATGTCTCTCAGTTCAAAGAATTCTGATTGCACTGTTGTTGTTCTGCAGGTAAATGGTTTGTAAGCACTGGGAAGGACAATCTGTTGAATGCTTGGAGGACTCCTTATGGCGCCAGCATATTCCAGGTATGTAGATCAATACACCCTGTCTGCAGCCAGGCCAAAAGTATGCACTGTTGTCTCTGAGAGGAAGGGCACAGCGACCGCTGCCTGACAGGACTCTCCAATCAGTGAAAACCGAACCTGAATTATTGACCTGACAAAGAAGTCGTTTTGAGTGGCATCCTGCCAGAACTTGATGTCACTGCAATCTAATCTTGCCCTGTAGTCAGCTAATCTTCTCCATTTAACTTCAAATGCAGTTGAGCATGTTAACTCCCCCCAAGACTAAATTGATTCTTTATCTTCTTTTCTCGAAACAGTCCAAGGAATCCTCATCTGTCCTGAGCTGTGACATCTCGACAGACGACAAGTACATTGTGACAGGCTCTGGTGACAAGAAGGCCACTGTGTATGAAGTGATCTACTAGAGCGGACTGCTTTGGATCAGAGCATGTTCATGCTCAGGAACAACAGACTCCATCTACCTTCCCTCACAAAGACAGCATGGATGTTGCCTGCAGCCCCGGGGGGGGGTTGGGCAGGAGGTTTGGCAGTGCCAGACTGAAATGGACGTCGGTGCCCATGTGGCCCTGGATGCCGTGTCCTTCGGCTCTGCCCTTCCTCACTTGTACAGCGAGTGCAGATCCCCAAGGCACTAAGAAGAAAATAATGTCTTGCTGTTTTTCTGTTTGTTGGATATTTCTTTTTTTATTCGTCCTTTTTAATGTGGAGATAAAGTTCCATGACACAACTAGAAGCGGTGCTTCATTTGGAGCTTATCCTTGGAGGTCCTGTGAAAAGTGTACATAATGGAGTAATAAAAGGCCTTTTATAGATTTATATTTTGGTGTCCAGTTACGCTTGTGATGGTTCTTTCTTGTTCTCTCCGTGATTCTCTGTTCCCTCTGGGGATGGAAATTAGATTAGGACTTTGTAAGAGGATATTCTATTTCAGTTTTTCCCCTCCTCCGCTTTTTTTCACGTTCGTTGTCCAGAATGACCTTTTCGGAAATCTAATTTGGATTTTTTTTTCCTCCCTGACAACAGCTTTTTTTTCTTCGCTATTTGCTGTAACACACAACACAGACGTTTGTCCAATGGATTTTTAGCAGTGGAGAATTCTGGAAATGTCCTTTTTTTCAGACTGGAAGATGGAGAAAAATCAGGGTTTCCAGTTACTTCTACCCTTTGGCTCTGATGAGCAGAAATTCAGCTTTGAAATGAAGACCTATCCCTGAACACTGGCTACTCTCAGTAACATTAAAATGGATAATTATCAACTGGAGGACTGGTGGATTTCATGGAGAAGCAGCTGTGACTTGAGTTCAGTCTGGTTACACAACTATTGTATGAATCTTCATTTTTCCACACAGCAGTTTAGTCATCAGTCTGTAAGAGTTGATTATTGCCTCTCTTGTTTGACTCTCTGTGACTGATGTGCAACACCTAAACCGTTACTCATAATGGTGGCAGGCAAAGCCACAACCCCATTTGACTTTTTGGGTATGCTCTGTTTGCTTTCTTCGGTATTTCATAATATTCCACTACAGTCTTCTCATAGACATGACTGGTCTCTGCATAAACACACATTAGACTGGGTAGCATACACGTGTCGTCATCCCTAAGGATTGTACAGTTGACAGTTGTTGATGAATCAATAAACTGTTTTTCTATAAAATCATCCTGACTGAATTTCTAAAACGCTTGTTTTAAAATAAGGGTGTGACGTTTTGGTAAATATGTGTTTGCATTTTTGTCAAGAGTTAGTAAAAGAACATTAAATATGTCTCGTCTGTACCAAAAGAAACAAACTACCCTCAGAATATGATTAGCTTAACTTGGCATAAAGACTAAAAACAACTAGTAGCCAGGCTCTGTTTGAATGCAGCAAAATCCACCGACTTGCAACTCAGTAATTAACACTTTTATTCAATTTTATTATTTTTTTTATTGGTATCTAAAGTGTAAACTAGTTAGTGCCTAACTAACAAATAGTCTGAAAAATTTCCAGCTGTGAAACCACACTGTTGTTTTCACACTTTGTTTTTTTAAGTTAAACAAGCAACATAAATGTGTTAACTGGTATTACTGGTAGTACTGCGGTGGGTCTTGCTGTTTCCCCCTGTTATGTTCCTCCGTTATTGAACGTCTCATATAACTCTTGCCAAATAAGCAAACACGTAAATTTCAGATGTAGAGGGAGGTATATATTTGTTGTTGTGCTGTAGCCTGCAGTGGGATAGAGAGCATGACCTGGCTAGAGCTGCTATTGTTGACCCGGCCTGTCTTGCCATGCTGAATGTTTCTTGGTTCTAGGTATCTCGTCTAAAAAACAAGAAATGGTGTTGTTAAAGTTTTAATTGCCCTGTGTGCCGCTTGTGAATATGCTCCCTTGCTCCTAGTCTGCAGCTGCAGACAGTTAATAGAAGTCCATCAGTAAATGACTAAATGCATCCAGATAGGAGTTGACAACTGCCTCAGGAGAACCCCAGCCATGAGAGAAAGAGGGTTCTGTTAAAGAGTTTCATTTGGACATTGATATCTGTGGGAGCAACTCTTTAAAGCTCTCAAAGTCACGATGTAGCATAATGGACTGTGGTCACCGTCATCTACCACCTTATTTTGAGTGGTGTTAGCACAGAAAGCAAACAACACAACTGCGAGTGATACAATAAGGCCAATATTTTATGCAGTACCACTTCAGAAACATGACGCAAACACTGCTCTTGAGTTCTCTGGAGAGGTCTTTTGGTAGTTAAGTACTTTTGGGCAGGATGAGGTGAATGGCCCAGTCCTTCCACTCCAGTGCAAGGCTCTTCTAGGACTCTGTGTGTGTGAAGCTGTGAGCCCTTCATACGGCTGCCTCTTCAGAGATGTTGTTGTTAGATTATAAAAGCAGGGCCGGATGCTTTCAGCATGGAGCCAGCCGCCATGCTCCGCTCTCACGGGCTCATTTGTTAAAGGCTATAGTCTTTCTTTTCCCACATTGCTGAAGTGTGTACTTCCTGTGTGCATTTGTAGCTTAAGCTCCTTGCTCAAGTAGAATTTTCTTCCTCACTTAATCAAACAGCAGAATATCTGCAGATGAAAGGTTGTACCTCTGAGAGCCTATTGCTGGACACTAAGGGGTCATTGTCTCGCCTTCCACTGATCTACCTCTCAATAGAGGGCTTTCAGCAGGTTCTCATGCATAAGCCCATGCTGCGCTGTTCTATTTAGAGGAGGACTACAGAGCAGAGTGGGGTAAGTGTTTTACAGCAGTTCTAGACATAAGAGCACAGTCCAATTCTTTACTTCTGGCCTAATTGTTAGAGCCAAGAATCGGCAGAAAACCAGAGAGGGTCTGTAATGCCAATATGTGGGCTTGTACATGCAAAACCACTGTGTGAATGTTTTTTTTGTTTTCAGTTTAAGCTGCCAGGCATTGATCACAGTCCACCAGAAATCTGGCTGCTTCTTTCAGCTGGCATTCTGTTTTCCACCCTCCCCCCGCCCATCAGACTGAGAATCAGGGTTTTTCTCTCTATTTTTCAAAAGCGAGGGACTGGCACGGTGCTGAAATGCAGAATAATAATCCCCTAATCACCTGAGTATTGCCAGTCCTAGGTTTTATCTGCAATGGATGTGAAAGCCCCCGGTGCCTTGTGATTACAGCATTTGATCTGGGTAATAATGTCTTCACTGTTGCCCTGCCTAGGGCCCGAAGGCAGTGCAGCTCTAATCCACAGTGCATTCTAGTGGAATCGCATTACACAAAGACCACCAGGGTTCTCCTCTAGAGGGGAGGGGTGGGGGTGGGGGTTAAAGGAGGAGGTTGCCATGGAAACAAGTCTCTCTCTCTCTCTGTGTATGTACACCTCTGTCTCCCTCACACACACATGCACACACACTCTCTCCCTCTTGGGATAGATAAGCAAAGACAGGTTCTATGTTTACTTTCTTTACAGCCCTCTCCAATCCCTGAGCAGGCTGAGCCCTGATAACACAAGACCTGTACAGCCACCGACCACTGACAGCAGATAAGCACCCCAACAGAGCAGAGCAGTCATCACCCTCCAACCAGGATGTACAAACCTGGGAGACCCGGATTCATTTGGATTAGGCTGGATTGCCGCTGCCTCCGCCATCGCCACTGCAGCTGTTTTGCCGCCACTGCTGTGTTAAACTTGATGTTGCACTTCACCATGTGTAGTCTCAGAGCTTAGTCAGAGGACACAGCCACAGTAATGGACGAGATGCTATTTTAGATATTGAGGTCAAGGGACCGTCTGCAATGGGCAGGTTGGTTTCACCACAGCTGGAGGTCTGTGAAATTCAAAAAACCGAGTTCCTCAATGTGTTCACAGAAGCAGAGAGCCAAACATTATCAATAAGTTGTTCCACCATTTTCTCATGTCTTCCCCTTTTTCTCTTGTAGTTGTTTTCCAATGAAAGGCCAGAGAACTGTTGGGACATTCCTTTGTATTTGTTCCAAGTATCCACTAATATCCAGTAATTCAATAGCCAGAGTAATTAGATTTATATGATACTAATGCCCCGAGATGGAAACAACATGCTCTTTGATGTTAAGATCAAGACAACTACAAGTACTTCTTTATCGTGAGCATTATGCTAACATACTAATTATATTTCCACACATTCTTTGATTAGGGCACAGCTGGAGGTGTACAAGCAACATGACTAATTACAGAGGAAATGGTGGGATTGAGGTAAAGTTGTGGGAGCTTGATTTCCCTTTGGCCCCTTCTGTTGGCCGTGTTTACTTCTAAGATATCCTTTAGTTTTTGTGGAGCTGATTAACAGTGAGATCACACACCACAAAGTTAAAAAAGAGAAACTGTCCACTTAATATCCAGGGTTTGTAGGTCTATGTTTCCTAAATTGTGACTATAGATTTACTTGTTTATGCCAGTAATTTAGTTTGAATTAAATCAACCACATAAATGCAGTGTAGGACCAAAATATGACGTATTCTACAGAAGACTCTTCACATCTGCAACTTCACAGGGCTTTCTGTCTGTCGTTCCTGCGGGATGAGATAACCATGAAGTACAGTAATATTGAACACGTCCATGTAATGTCAGGCATACTGATGGAACGTTATGTGGGGGTTCCTCCATCTTTATGGATTAAAAGGAAATCGTTCAATTACTATTAGTCTTTTCTACCAAAAGGGTGAATGTGGATTTATTCTATATTTTTCTAATTGGAAACAAATTTCACCATAAGACCAAAACCAACAATATATACAATACATTTACAATAAAATAAACTTGAAGTAGTTTCTGAACAACAATGCTTCTCTATGGAACAGAGCAATAAGATACACCAGAGATTAAATACATGAGAAATACTTGAAAGTAGTTAAGCTTTTTGTTTTTATGTGATGTTGATATTCGAACAAAAATGGGGTGACAGCATCATTAAAATATAAACTACACTTCTATTATAAATCCATCAAACCTACCAGTTCATCAGTAATGTGAAAATAGTCAAGTACCTTGTTTTGAGACAGGGATGCAAATGAATGTAAAAAAAAAAAGCATCTGATACATTTAAATTAAAAGCAACTCTCCTTCCTGTTGCTGACTCAGAACAAGCAGCCTGGAATAAGACGTTCCACAGACACTATGGAAGTGGTCACTGAGTTTTCAACAATAACTATTTAATTTGTTCGACATGTCAACAGTCCACACATGTTGCAGCTGTGGATTAGCCGTCATGCTAACTGTTAGCGCTCTCCCTCCAGCAGTTGACCTGAATCCACCTGGTTTGTTTAGCTTTATTTGGACAACTTTGGCGACACGTGTGTACAGCGCGGAGGCGGATTGAGCTGCTCG